CTCGGAACTTGGGACAACTAAAGACCTGATCACCTCTGTAGACCAGCCCATACCTCAGAACACGTAAAGACCTGATCACCTCTGTGGACCAGCCCATACTTCAGAACAACTAAAGACCTGATCACCTCTGTAGACCAGCCCATACCTCAGAACACGTAAAGACCTGATCACCTCTGTGGACCAGCCCATACTTCAGAACAACTAAAGACCTGATCACCTCTGTAGACCAGCCCATACCTCAGAACAATTAAAGACCTGATCACCTCTGTAGACCAGCCTGAACCTAAGGACAAGTAAAGACCTGATCACCTCTGTAGACCAGCCTGAACCTCAGGACAACTGAAAACAATCATAAAATCAATAACTCTTGACCACAATGTAAAAATGTTTCTAGTTGTAATACAGGCARTACAATTTATTTTGTATTTTTCCATTTTGCTTCTCGACCAGCCTTTTCAGTTTCTTGGGTTCTCAACAATTGAGAAAGCTTTCAAAAATATCTTCAGAAAACCCATAAGTTCAGTTAACTTTAATTGGATTTCCTAGCATTACCACTCCCATGATGTCTGAATCACTTCATCAGCATAGATTTGTGTTATTTTTGATTTTTTTGTATTCATTGTTGTTGCAGGGTGTGGGGTTTGCAAGAGAATGCAGCCAGTTTTTCAGCAAGCAGCCACAGAGACAAAAGGAAAATATGTAAGTTGATCTCTGCTGGGTTTCTGCAGTAATTGTCTACAAACTACACTCTTCCTTTTTTTTGTTGYCTGGATGTTAGCCAGTGTTCAAACTTCCCCCTCAACCTAACTAAAAGATTTCTGTTTAATCTCTAACAAAATGTGTCATAACACTCTGAACACATGCTTCATAATTTTGATTTTCCTTTTTTAGACTAACCCAGTTCGTTCTCAGTCTGTCTCCACTGCGCCCAGCTTTATGTTTATTCTGGGGTTTTGTTTTGTGTTTTCTCATTATATGAAGAAGTAGTGTTTACTCACAGGTTTGTCAGACTTGCCAAAGAATGTTTTTTTAATAAGTTCAGAGCGTTGTATCATCGGGTGGGAATATTGTGATTTAGTCGAGTAAATCGTATTGATTGTTTTTCTAGTTTGTACCTTCATGAGCAATTACAGTAAATCTAAAGTCCCTCCAGTTGAAGTTTACAAGATCTGTATAGATTAAATGTCACTTTAACTGGCTCATTTGTTGTGTTTACTTTCTAACTTTCTTCACCCTCCTGTGGTGGAGTGGCTAAGAGACGTCTGCGTTTGTTTTCTGCTGCACCGGAGCAATGATCAGACAGGCTGCAACGATTCACTCGGGAAATAAGTGCTTTGTGCTCATAACACCTTCACTACTGATTTGATGGAGAAGCTAAGAAAGAAATTAAGAACTGAGTGAAACAGTAATTAACAACACATTTGATTTATTTTTAAATGCTTAGGGAAGAGAGTTGTGGAGAGGCTCCATGTACAGAACATCTCATCTTAGGGTGTTTTTTTACGGCTGGAAGGGATTCTTGGTGTTATTGTTTGTTTTTTTTTGTTGTTTTTTTGCTGAAAGAGACCACTACAGCTGCATAGTAGTGAACAACAAATTGGTGCAAAGCCAGACTGTTTACCACATTTCTGTTCTTGGCGATGCCTACAGGTGTTGCATGTAACTGAACCACAATACTTTGCATCATCATCATTATTATTATTATTATTATTATTGTTGTTGTTGTTGTTGTTGTTGTTGTTGTTGTTGTTGTTG